CGGAATTAAAATGATAGGCTGAGTACCTAATGAAAGATGCTTTTTTTCTGACAATTCCCCAGTAGTTGGATTCAATAGAAAATGATATAGTTGTCCATCACCCGAGGCTGCAAGAACATAATGATTATTTTCAAAATTTGTTAATAGAACAGAGCGAGTAATAGAAGTTCCATCAAACTTTTCATCCGATATTATATCTAAAGTAGGCAGTTTTAAAATTTTTATTCCAATGACTTTCCATAACCCAACCGCTACAATTGATGAGGAGGTTGGATCCTCTAACGGATTAATACTTAAACATGAAATATCAGAGTCTAATTCCAATTTTCTACAAATTAAATTATTTGATTGATTTAACGAATAAGTGAATGAAATATTAGATCCATTAATAAAATTAATTATAATCATATAAATAAATATATTAATATAAATTTAAAAACTAAAAGTTTACTAACTTGATTAGCATTAATTTATCATTTTTTATTTCAAAGTATATTATAGTACCACCAGAGAGCCCAATAACAATTTGTGTAGTATTTACATCAGCTACAGTAATGGTTTTTCCATTTTCTGTGAGCCATTCAGACAATAGTTCTCCGGTTTCGATAACAAAAAGTGCAATATTTGTTTCTGTTATCTACAATAATAATTCATTGTAAGTTCACAATGGAAGAAAACTTATTATTATTATTTTGTTGTTACTGTATTTCACAAATGCTTACCTGTACAATTCTATTTCCAATAACGTTTTTGACAGATTTTGTTGTCTTGGACAAATTAAAACCCGAGTATTCTTCTAACTCCGTTAATTCTTCTCCTTGATTTAATTTTAAAATACGAGTTTCGGTGGCTAAAGATATGACTATTGTATCATCATGACTGTTAAAGGTGGAGGGAGGTGTTAGTTGTTATTTTACATGATATCGAAAAATTACGATTTATTAATAAAAAATCCAAATATACATACGAAGAATCAAATGTAGGACGTAATGACCATACACCATTAATTCCTAAAATATTCATTGATGCTTGTTCAGTAACACCTATTCCATTTCTAATTATTCGCAAAGTGCCATCCTCATTACCACCTGAGCAAGTAATTAGTTGACCCTAAAAAGATAAATAATGTTAGAAGGAACTTAACTTCAGAATTATATGTGATAGATATCAATAAGAATCGATAAACCGACTAACCAATCCTTGTCTTTCTAAATTTATTACGCAAAAATCATGTAATGGTGCCAAATTCACATAATTTTCTAATAAATCCATTAATTCATTTGATGAATTGTATTCCTTGCGTAATTTGACAAGTTGAGAATCACCAAAATGAGAACCAATAAAAGCATAGCCTTCATCAAGATAAGTAATGGAAGTTGGTTCAGAGATCTTTAATAAAATATTGTTATAAATGAATGAATTTTTTTTAAAACATATAGTAAATTATAACATATTAATTATTATTTTTTTTTCGTTAGAATTAATTACCTTTCCTATATCATAATAATAAATTTTTTCAGAATCTGGTAAAACAAGCAAGTGTAATGTACCGCAACCATCTCCTATCAAATATCTTGTACCGTCATCATCAATTCTAGAAATCCTATAAAAGAGGAAAAGAAAAAAAAAGAATATCAGGGCTCAATAAATAAAACTTCATATATATATATTGATTGATTAATTAATCGAATTATAGTTATATAAAAAATTACAAATTTCTAAAGTTGATGCTTTGTATAATAATATTGAATAAATATCCAAGGTTTCAAATAAAATTCTATCAATTTACCCATTATGACTGATCGAGTATTTGAATAATATTGTACTGGAATTATTTATAAGATCTTTATAATATAAAATCTTATTTTCACAGATTAGCAAAAATCCACCTAAATAATTTAATTATAAATCTTTAGTAAATAAGTCAAAAATGAAAATAAAAATATATTTATATTTAGGTAATTTATATATAATGTAAAAAAAAAATACCCGTTGGTACTGCTATCATGTGATTTGCAGAAGGGTCAACATTTTTGAGTGACCATGGTGCATCTGTAATTTTTTTTTCTTTAACAGCTATGTAATAGGTTTTAATTTGAGTTATTTTATGAGAATCTTCATATAATATGGCCAGCGTAGGCGTGTCCATTTCGTATAAAAGTATCATAGAACGGATCTTCAATTCCTCTAATCTTTTTTAATATAAATTCATGGAAGTCTGAATGTTGAATTTGGATGTCAAGCAATTTTAATGTCATTATCACTTGTTATTAAATTAGAAAAGTAATTTCAAAAACCTTATATTGAAAAATTTCGAAAGATAGCCATGTGATGTATTTTTTTCTTTTGAACCTGTCGATACTCTGCCTTTATGGCCATCATTCATTATTGGGAACACATTAAGAGTACCTTCGCATGATTGAACTGCAATCATTCGTGATTTTTCATCAATAGCCAAAAGTTGGCCTGGTTCTGATGGACGCTTAGACTTCTTGGCGTTGAAATTACCATAACATTCAGTTTTAACCTTCTGGGTTGTTTGATCATAAGATAATACAAAGTAATCTAGGTTTTCAGTGGTGACAAATAATAAATCTGTATCGCAACGCTATATGTATGCATGTCGCATTTATGATAAAATTAAATATGCCATGTTAATAGTATCAATGAATTATATTTTAACACAAAAATAATTTTAAATAATGAAACACGGCATACAGCAGGTCTATATATTCCCATACAAGCAATTCTACCATATATTGGAACATCTTGTAATAACTTTAAGCCTCCCGGAATAAGTGTATAAATTTCTATGTGTGTTATTTTGCTTTATTTATTAATATGTCATAAAAATATTTGATTAGTATTTTAAAAAAAATCGCTGACCACACTATTTAGATAAGTTTGATTAAAAAACATACTTGACAAATAAATTAATTTCACCAGTAGTGCAAAATTTTCCTTTAACAGAATCAATAACACTGCTCGATTTATGAGCAGTAACTACGTAGTTATACATTATGTAATTTTCAAAGACTTTCTAAAGTTATATGTATCTAATCAGATAATTGATATTAATGATTGTCAAGTGTAATTTTGGCACTACCCCCCCCCTACAAAAACTGATTATCAAAAAATTTGTTTTTATTCATGGCTTCATGGCTTGTCAAAAGATTAAATATAGATATTTATATGGTAAACTTGTCAATTCCAATTTCAAATATAATTTTTCAAGAAAAATTTCATCTTCGACAAATACAACAAAGAATAATGATCAATTAGATAATGCTATTAAGTATTGTAGTAATCTTGTGAGGTAAGAAAGTATTATAAAAAGTAGCTTAAATTTTTCAATTGATTAAATTAATAAATCACATAATAATAATAATAATAATAATAATAAACACATATTAGTATTTTTTTTATTTAATATTTATAAAGAAAACAAGATTCAGAAAATTATCTATGTTCATTATTTTATCCAAAACACATTCAAAAAGTTCATTGGGCAATTCGAGCTTTTAACATTGAATTAATAATGATTCGTGATTCGGTCAGTGATCCTCGGATTGGCAAGATGAGGATGCAGTTTTGGCGAGAAACAATAGACAACATATTTAAGGTATGGATTGTCAATCTGAAGTATCGAGAAAATCGATAATTAGACCTTTCAATTCAAAACATTATATTGTGTTATGATATAAATTTATTTATATGTTTTTCATTTATTTAATATCATCAGCAGAATAAGCCTCCTCAACAGCCTATAGCGCAAGTTTTACACAACTCTTTAGATATATGCAATGTTTCTCCGTTATTTTTTAAAAGAATTATTGATGCAAGAGTAAAGAAAAGGAATTTCTAATATAAAATAATTTATTAATCATATTGCAAAGTAATTAATAGAAAAATTGATTATTCTAAGGATGCACTTTTGGATGATCCACCATTTATAACGTCCAAGGATTTAGAATCATATGCTGAAAATACTGCATCTTGTCTTCTTTATTTACACTTGGAATCATTGGGTATTAAGGATATACAAGCGGATCACGCAGCCAGTCATATTGGGAAAGCTATTGGAATTGTGACTACATTAAAGGCATTTCCATATCTTGTTAGTAAAAGAAGAATGATGTTACCAGCAGAAATCACTGCAAAGGTATTTTATCGGATATATATAATATATATATATATATATAAATTCATTAAAAAAAATCTTTTTTTTAATTTCCAGCATAATTTTTCCCACGAAGAAATTTTTCGAAAAGGTCGTGTGCCAGGACTAAATGATGCAATTTTTGAAATTGCAACAATAGCCAATGATCATTTATTGACAGCCAGAACTTTTTTATCAAATATTCCCATAGAATCATTGCCTGCACTACTATCAGCTGTAAATAAACAAATATATATTTATTATTGTTAACTATAATTTATTCTTCCTAAATTAATACACACTCTTTATATTCTCAAGGTGTCTTGTAATTCCTATTTGAAACGTTTGGAAAAATATGATTTTGACGTGTTCAATCCAAGACTGAATATAAGAGATTGGAAATTACCATTTCAACTATGGATAAATTATCGTCGTGGTGAATTTTGATGAAGTTTGATGCAATATAAGTTTATTCACAAAGAAAAATTAATATTTATATTATTATTATCATTATTATCGTCATCGCCATTCATCAAATTGTTTCGAGTCTTTGTATTTTTATTTCAAAACTTTTTCGTATCCATGTCTTCTTGTTTTGAAAAAGCTATTGTTTTAAAATTAAATCTTATCATCACCACTTGGCTTGAGGCAAGGTGATATTAAAAGTTTCATTACATTTGATGCAGACAGTTTTTCTTTCTGAATATCCAAAGAGCCTTGGTAAACCTAAACAAAAGGCTAAAAATAAAGTCCAAAATGTACTTTATTTTGTTTGTTTGAAATTAGATAAATTTTTAAATAAAAAAAACCAAAACATACAATAATAATATATTAATACTTACTAATGAGATTTTAGTTCATGTGAACCACCTTTTGGACATGGGCCTAATTCTTTAGCAATATCTAACAATTCTAAAATATTTAAATAAATTTCAATATTAATTAATTTGTAAAATTAAGAATCTTTTACGAATATAACAGTGAAAGGTTGATGCTAAATAAATTCCTTGATTGTGTTTCTTGTCAATCACTCGAGTTCCTGGATATGATGGATTCATATTTTAAATAGGAAAATAAATAAGAAAAAATTCAAATAGAATGTTTTTGAATATATATTCTTCGAATAAAAATTTATGAATTGGGAAATTAGCCAATCAAATATGAGTGGTATGGGTGCGAAATTTCAAATTCACATATCGAACGATCTGACATACGATATCCAAATTTAAATAACAATAATAGTAATATTATTAATATTAATAATCATGTTTTATCGTTTTTATTTGTTAACAAGATTTTAATAAGATGTTGCTGTGAGCAACTAACAGTCACATGGAAAGAAAGGCAGTGATCTGCTATTACGAAGGTGTTTGCTTTTTCTTAAAAATAATCAATAAATATAACATTATGATGGCATCGTAAAAAACATCCTTAGTTTTCTAAAATGTTTTGAATATATTACATTAAAAAAGATCAAATCTATGATACCAACCAAAAGATCGATAAAATAATTAATCTAATAGAGCCTAGAAAAAATATAAACCAAGTAAACCAACCAATGATCTAAAATACTAAGGGGAATTTAAAAATTGTAAAAAGACCGAGTTGAATCCAATTTTTTTGAAAAAATCCACGAGTTATATGATGGAGAATTGCTGCTTCTGCCGTAAAAACAAAAAACAAATTCTAGAAGGAAAGTAATAGAAGCAATCCAGGAATCAATAAAGAAAAGAATCAAAAAATGGGGAGAAAGGATGATATAGAAGATGAAAAAGGTACTGATATTACAACAATAAGAATATCATTAATAACAATAGTGAAAAGATAGGATTTACATCAGAACAGCAAAAGAATAGGTAGTGCTCAACAACAACTTCCCATGCAATTGCTCTGGTAGTTTTCTATGTTATAATTTTTCAATTTTTAATATTTATATTAAAATCATTAATACCAAAACCATGCAGAAATGAAATTTTAAGGAAACCAATTTTGAAAAGTTCTGACAAGCAAAAAACGAGAAAACTTGGAAATAAACCTTTGATATTTTCGTTGAATTTAATCAGAGTCTCCATTCAATGTAGAATAATGGCTCCATCGCCTTGTCGTCCAAGCGATGGTGGGAAAGTTTTAGTAGACAAGTTTCTAATTAGGTCTCTTCCCAATTATACATGTTCCTTAAAGTCATCTCTGAAAGATAAATGAGTAATATTAAATTTAACAAATTAAGCTTAGGTGTTAGGTCCAACAGAACTTTCCTCTCCATCATATGCAATGCTCTACTTCATGGTGATGAAAACCGCATTAAATAAAAAGGCTTCAACAACCTCTTCAAAAAAAAAAGATCTCGGATGTAATTTCAACAAATTCAGAGCCCCGCGGTCCCTTTGAATTGTTCCGTTGCATTGTGTCTTCGGGTAATGGGCCTAATTAAACATGCCTGAAGCGTCAAAGGTATGAAATTTTAATGATTGTTAAAGGACTACATAGTACCCGTTAGAGACTCTCGACGACATTTTTTAATAAAATATAATATTAAACGTAATATGTGAAAATTAAAATTAGTCAATCAAAAGGAATATTGCCATAAACTTAGTTTTAGTAAGATATATATCACCCTCTACTTTTGAAATTTTTGGGTTTCATCTCACAAAACTTTATTATTATTGGTTTTCATGCACATCACAACAATTGACATAGAAATTATCAAATCATTTTCAAATAATTAAATTTAAAAGATTAAGTGACATGTAAATTAAAAGATTCTGTTATATGTAGGATTGGAATTTAGAATATCGAATTAAATCATTAATACAAATTTATTTAAAAAAAATATAAAAATATAAAATGTTATATGATGATGATGGCGATTAAAAAAATTTTATTTTTTAAATAATTTTTTTGTCAACATATAATTTATTCGTCTTCTCCTTGATGTTTTGCCCTATAAGCTTCTATCTTTTGTTGGACTTTGTTTCTTCTTTGTTTCAAATTCAATCTAAACTTCTTGTACTATTAAAAAACAACAATGAAAATAACATTTAAAAACATGTTGTGTAAAGAAATGCAAAATATACAAAAAAATCTGAATGATCACCTTCTTAAAGTCCTTATAATCTCCTTTCTTGTCTGTAGGTTTAAATACAGGATCACTACGGATCTTGGTATGTGCTTCTTTATAAATACACTCTAAATCATCAGCACAAATTCCAGTTTCGATAAATTTGGAAAATTGTCGTTTATACTTGTCATCATCCTCATCTTGAAGATAGCGCATATAATCTGCCACATGTCCACCATAAATATATTTACGAAGGATACTTGAGTCAAGTGATTTCGATTCTGTGTCATAACCTGGAAATCTATTTTCTCCATGTGGAATAAAAATACCACCATCAGAAGCACCTTTAAGCACCGCAAAAACTTTAGATCCAGTAGATGTACGTTTCAATCCAACATCTAAAAATGCTTTGAATGGAGAAGGTGAATCGTCATCATCAATTGCCTCAACTGGAGCAACTTTACCATCTGGTTCTTTTATTCCTTGATACTTGTCAGCTAAATTAAGTTTAGTGAGAACACGTCGAGCTACCAATAAACCTGTTGCATATGCTAATTTATTATATAAAAAATTTGTAACAATAAAAAAAACATTAGTAGATATAAATAAATAAATAAATAGTATATACACACACATACACATCTATATATGTAGATTAAAACTAACCTGCTGCCCAATTTGTTAATCCAATTTTAATACCATATTTTTTTAATTCATGTGAATAAGCTGCTGCTAGAACATAATCTCCTTCGATTTTGGCATATACAATTTGAACAATGATGTCTGTGTTGGTGAAACGAACAACTAATCGATATTTTGGTGAATTATACTTATTCTTTGCTTGAACAACCAATTTTTTACGTGCATAATAATCAGTTTTTCCCTCTAAAATTAATCATCAGAAAGAGAATGAAATAATTAATTATTTGTGAGATTATTAGTTACTTATATATAGTATGGATGAATATGTATTGAGTATAGATAGATTAATTTTTTGTGTTTATTTCAGATAGGAGCGAAAGATAGTATTAGGTTCAACATAACAGAAAACTTGTTCAGATGAACTATGTAATCATCATTAATACAACTTGAATAATTAATTAATCCCTAAAGAATTATGGTTATTGTTGCAAATGTTAACATTGTAAACGTACCTCGTCTTCTTCGATATTTAACTTGATATCTTTTGAAGTAAGCTACATATATATATTGATGTGTTGATATATTGATGAGATAATATAAATAGATAAATAAATAAAGATTAATTATCGATTAATAATTGTGACAAATTATCTATAACCACCCTGTTAAACATTACCTTTATTTTTCACTATTTTAACAAATGTCTTTCAACGATCAATCAGTTGCAAATTATTTGATAATTGAATTTTCAATAGAGTATTAATGAAATAATAAATGGTAAAAAGAACGAATTAACAAAGTTATCATAGTAATAAATAAATTTATAATAAATTTGCTATTATTATTATCTAGTTATTGTTATTTTAAATAAATAAGTAGTTAATGGTTCCTTAATAGTGATTTTCTATCGTGTTATTACTAATATTTGATGGCTATTTATAATTGATTAAACTTACCATCTTTACAAGCTAAATAAATAGATAAATTTTATTCGTTATTGTGAGATGAAAAAAAAATCTAAAAAAAAAATTTTTATAATCAATCACGTGAATTTTTATTATTGCGCCCGGTATTCAGTGTTGTGTGGGAAACATGGCATGTAACGTTATATTCCAATCAAATTTTGAATCTCAGAAGATAGTTTCTAAATTTATACTAGTTACACGACGAAATTTCAACACTCCCGGTATTATAATATGATTTAGGTGATTTTAGGTTGAATTTTTTTTATCTTAGTTGATGTAATTATTTTATTTTTAATCTGATTAGAGTGAAGAAGCATTTGTATGATGTGTAATTGTTTGAAACCATCATTGAGATCAAAAAATTTTATTTGTTAAAAAAGGGATCATCTATCAAATAAAATATACATAAATATAGAATGATTATAACAAAATAGTATTATTTAAAAGTTTTTATTTATTATTCTTTTTTTAACAATGTATTTGCCACCCTTTCTGCTTCACGTAATTGTTTATATGAATCTATAATCATTATCAAAGGCAATATGAGATAAGGTGTATAGGCCATCAATAAAAAATTTCTTTGAGATTCACTTAATCCCTCATTACTACCAAACATCAATTCACTAATACAAGCTAGAGTTGTTGTGGCCGTATGACTTGCATAGATTAGCAGCAGTAATCTGATTGATTTATCGCCTGTAAAAAAATAAAAATTAATGAAAATGAAAGACTTGTATTTCAAACATAAAATTAATTTCTGTTTGCTTATATTCATATTATAATAATACCTTTCCATAAACTGATTGAGGCATAAAAAAAGAATGGTAATTGTAAAAATAATTCACAAAATAAAAAACTTTTAAACCAAATTCTTGTAGTAGTATATAATGGATCATTGAAGTTTTCTATGTACCATTTATTAATTGATGACAAAAAACTTGGAAGAATTGTTTCAGGATAAATTGAAGTTGTATCTAATAATAATGCAGGTGGAATATGAGTAACAAAATAGATGAAATAGATGAAATCTAATGAACGATGAAAACTTGAATTCATAATTATGATTGATATATTAATATTAATATTAATATTTATTTTTTTCTAACTTTTCGATGTAGATCATAATGTAAAAAGGTGGATCATTACTTATTTTTGCTGTCTTCCTTGACTAAATAAAGTTAAAAAAATTCACCAGACATAATTATCTTATAAAAGAAAGGGTGTGTTTGTTAATTTGCAATAGAGTTGCACAAGATCAAGTTTGGTGATTGACGTAACCTTTGGTAATTGTTACTTAACCATTTTTGCCAGTGAATTTGAATATTTGGTGCACATCATAAAAGTATTTCAAAATGAAATTCTGTATTCGCGTTTTACCTTTATTTTTTAATTGAATTTGGAAAAAAAAAATGAAATTTATTAAAAAATATCAAACATCAAAGGTTTATATTATTTATTATTTATTATTTTTCTTTTAAAAGAATGCAATTTTCATTAAAAAAATCTTTTAAATAGTTACCTGCCTCCTGTGTATGGTTTTTTTTTAATTTGTATTTAGGATGGTTTATCTTACATGTTATCTACTCCTTCTAAGTTGAAAAATAAAGAAAATAGTGATGAAAACAATAGCGAAATTGTTAATTTACATAATGATGGTATTTGGGAAAAGGCTGAAAAAGTTCTTAATACGAAACCAGAATCAATTGAAATTTATGAAAAATTGAATTCAATAACTACCAATCCCAATAATAAAACTAAAAAAAAATCATTATTAATGCCAAATACCTGTCAAAACATGATTGATAATTGTCTTCAAGAAAATCATTGTAATCATTGAATTTTTTTTTTTTTTGAAAATACTATTGAATTAATAATGAATCTTAACAATATTTTCAAATTTAGATAGTGGAGCAATTGATTTGATTGGATCTTTTTATAATCAATCATACAATCCTTCAGGGTATGTATTAAATAATTTTTTCTTTGGATTTAAAATTATTAAAAACAATTCATTGTGAATAAATATAAATTAATTAACTATATTCTTTATTTTCGCATTTTTTTGTAGAAAACATATTCGTCAATTGGTTGATTTGGTGATTAATGATCAAAAGGTTAATTATAGAATGGCTCTGAAAGCACATAAAATTTTAAATCAAATTTTACAACAAGAGGGTTCTTTACCTTTTGAAAATGTTTGGTCATCATCTCCTTCTTCAAGTGATCTTGATAGTCAAATAAATGAAATAGATGACATTTGGAAAGAATATAAGGATTTTTGGAATTTCATCAAAAAAACGATGTTCCAACCTCATCCAATGGATGATGATAATTTTCAAGTAAGCCAATATTTATCATTCAGTGATTTTTTTAGTACATATGTATTGATTGAATGCACATATATAATTTAGAGAAAACTTTTATTGCTTGAACATATAGTAAGCATGTTAGAAGTTGATATAAAATTAAAACAAGGTAAAAAACAATTGAAAATATATAAATACCCATACTCTTTAAATTGCTATAAAAAATTGTTAAAATATATATCTATCAATTTTCTATTTAGAAAATTTATCTTCAACAATATTTTTACAACTTATTCCAAACAGTTATGGTGTCCAACAACGCACAACAAACATTAAAACTCCTGTTGATATATTAATTTCAATATTTGACAAAGATGAAATATCTAAAGATCTTGTAAACATGATCCAAAGATTATTAGACTTGGTAAAATGTGCTTTTACTTATAATTTAAATTAACAGAATTAATTTTATTTAGTATTGAATATTAAAATAAAAAAGACTTTTGATTAATAATTTAGATGATAATTCTTTCATACTCTGAACATATTTGCTCTAAAACTTTGACAACTGAGATATACTTGAAATCAAAGCATCTTGATTCATCAAAATTCCAACTATTCCTTCAAGTGAGTTTGGTATAGATGTATATATACTCTATTTATTTATTCATTCATTCATTTATTTATGTTTTATTAATAAATAATCTTGATTCTTATTTATAGACTTTAATATCAAACACCTTTAAAGCAAGATTGCTTGATTTAGCATTATCCAATACAGATCTTAACTCAGCTGGCCGTAATTATCGACACTTGATAAAATCACAATTAAGTTTATCAAAAATAATTAATGTTTATTTTGATTCAATCCCATTAAAAAAAACCAAAAAAGGCGAGATTATGTCTGATTTAGCATGGCGACATTACTACATGCTATATTGGATCCTTCAAAGTTACATTTCTTCAAAAATCATACGAGTTAATAATTGTGTTAATAATAACCGTAATACTAGAAGGAATAGTGGTGATGATTTGATAATGATGATTTGTGGATTAGATGAAGAAGAATATGAATTGGTGATCAATAACACAGTGGTCAACAAAATCAACAATTTACAAGAATCAATCAAGAAAAATAATATTGTTAGTTCAGACATAAAACTTCAAGTACAATTTCTATTGGAAATGCTCAGTTTGAATATTGAAAGTCTTAAATTGCTGTGTAAGCGAGGGAAACGTGATAAAAAGGTGTAAATAAATAGATACATATATATATAAAGAATTCATTTAATATATAGATATAATAGATATATGTATATATTATAAATTTTTTTATCTGCATTTTTTTAAATATATACATGTCAATAAATTTACAATAATAATAAAATTTGCGATTTAATTGATGGACAAAACAAACCAAACAGAAATTACAAATTTTAGATAAGAGATATATACAAAAGGTTGTTTAAACAAAAGATTAATAACAAAACTTCACGTACATATATATAATAAGAAAAAAAGAACCTTTCTGTAATGATCCATGATTTAAATATAATAATAAGTCAAGTTTCCTGCTGCTCAATAAATTTATAATAAGCAACTTTAATGTTGAAATTGGCAATTCCAATAAATCCAATGATAAAAAAAATTTATCTACGCTTTTTGTAATAACATCAGAAAGCAAAGTTATCTTCGATTTTATATTATTAAATAGATGTTTATTAACTTGTTGATCGAATTCTTCCGAATGTGTTTTTAACAGATGGATTAAGTTGCGCCCTTTCTCCTTCCCATCTAAGAGCCTCATGAAAACACCAACGGTTTGGTATAAACCAACAATTGTCATTTCTTTTAAATGATAATAATAATATAAATAATAATATTATTAGTATTAATATGTATGCATATAGTAAATTATTATTATTATTATAATTAAATATGAATTAAAATAAATCCAATTCTTATTACGTGATTGATTCCTAACATATTTTACAAATATGCCGGCAGCCAACTTATAATCTTTTTGATCCGGTTTCTTGAAATATTCAAAAGCAGGGACGTAAATACTATCATAATAAGCCTTATCATTCAATTTTTCCTTGACTTTACTAAGTGCTTTCAAAATCTTAATAGTCTTTCCATCAAGTCCATCATCATCATCACATAATCTCGGTTGTTTTTTCTTATCTTCCAGTTCTTTATTAAGTTCGAAGAACTTTCGTTTCAGTTCGTCGTGTTTTTCTTGAAGTTGATCATATCCTTCCGTATTATAATAGTATTTCTTGCTATCATCATCTCTAATTAATTCAGTACCTATTGATTTATAATTTTTCCGACCATTCGCGCTATTTTCTATACTAATAATCAAAACAATCAACTTCTTTCAAAAAAAAAGCCGCTCATCGTCTTTCAGCAAATTATTTTTTATATTACTCATAACCCTCTTCTGGTTAGGATCAAATCCATACGAGTATCGGTTGTGATAGTTGTTGTATTATTATTAGCAGTCTCAATAGTAGTGACATTGCTTTCCATTACGGAGAATATGTTTTTCTTTGATAATGTTTATTTGCGAAGCGTATTATGTTGGGAAAAAAAAACAAAAAAACATGTATGATTAAAAAAACCATATACATAGGTAAACTCGATAAGTCGGACACAAATGGCTGGACACGGTGTCCGACTTATCAAAATATGCAATTTTACAAAAAAAAAAAAAAAAATTAAGAAAATCGTTGTTTAAATCATATTTATTTATAATAATAATTGAAAAAATAATTTAATAAAACAGATAGAAGATAAAACAAAAAAATCTCTACTCTTTATCTAAATAAATATTCATACTGGTTTGTACTAAAGAATTATTTTGTTTTCCATTTTAAATCTTTTAATCATTTAATTATGAAACAACAAAACGTGAATTCATTTAATGATGAGATAATAAATGACATAATAGATAAATATAACAATAAAATACATTATTTGCAAAGACAAATTCTTTAAAATGATTATAATATTATTCACGGAACAGATTTATGAAGAAAAAAAATAAATATAATGTGAAAAACAATTGCGAAGTTTGTCGAAAAACCGGTTTGGAAAAAATTTGGATATTATCGGTTTTATTGAGCAAAGTTAGTGAATAAAGAAGGGGAGTTTGGTTGCTCTTTTGGAAAAAAACTATTTACAAATCATGAATAGAAATTATTACAAAAATTTATTGGATAATACATTACTAAAAATAGTAAAGATTATCTCTCAAGATTTATGAAAATCACGTGAACCGACTTATCGAGAGTCATTTATTATTATCTGGCTGGAGGAGTTGTCCGACTTACAGCTTAACAAGAGTTTATATATGTGTCTGACTTATCAAGAAATTTTTAAATATAAAAAAAAAAGGGCAGGAAATTTTTGTCCAAGTTAGGCCAAATCCAACTTATTGAGTGTCCGACTTATTGAGTTTACCTGTGTATGTATGTTATGTGTGTATATATAATATATACATATATATAATTATTTTAAATAATTCTTACATTTAAATATTTGTAAATTTAGATAAAGGCAAATTTAGAGCATATTAATTGATAGTCTGAAACTAGAAGTTTGTTCTATATTCCTATGGTTACTATTAATAAGAAATATTGTAAAGTTGGTTAACAAAATCACTCTTTTTAAATTAATCTTTTTTAAATTAACATATTTGATATCTAGAACTTACTGTGAAATATCTTAGTTAATCTGAAACTAGAGGTTTTTATTTTATCTATTCTTCTGATAGTATTATTAAAAAGAATTTTTGTATAAAGTTACAAGCTTTTAACAAAATTCCCCTTTTTTAACTCATTTATTTTTTGAAATCTTGGACCCAGTGACCCAGCTTTTAGAATATTGCTGAGTAAGTGTGGTAAATAAACAGTATAAGGTGTTAACAGTTGGTTTTTGTGTTTTATCTAAAAAATATTTAAAAAAAAAAAAAATTCCTAGTGCATAACTTTCTTTGATTTTAAAAACAACATACTTTGAGCAATTTGACTGATTATTAGTGATTATTGAGTGATTATGAAAGAGAAAATTGAATAGTATTTATTTCGATTATTATAATTTGGATTTTTTTAAAAAATTTTTTTGTTTACATATTATGGAAGCATCACGTAAACTCGTTTGCAACATATATGAATTGATTGACGGGGGTTCGAATTTTTCCAGAATCGATTTCCATATTGGGTAAAATACCATAATACAATTCACTTAGTCCCACAACTTTTTATTGGTCGTGTAGATTTTCAAATTCTCCAAAAATAGAAATGCAACACCCCAAAATAAATCGTGTATTTGAAGCCAAGACCTTCCACTACAAAATCTCATTGATATGTCATTGGGGTGTGTGACATTCTAAGAAAATCGAAACTAATTAATGTCATATACTGATTGGTTATATGTGATTTTTTTTTTGTGATCTGCATATCACATATAGGATTTCCGAAATTTACATAAAGAACATCTTAAACATATTGTTTTCAAAACACAACTCCTCCTCCATTTTCAAAGATATAAGCATTAAATTTCCATGAAAGGTAGTATATACATTATAATTAGGAGCCGTGGAAAGATAAAAATACCAGTGGAATAAAAAAACCCATTCAAAATACAGAAAATTTCTTTCTTTATCGTAATACTTCTATCTATTTAGTGTTCCATGTCACAATCCAAAAAAGGAAACCAAAGTGGTCGCAAAGGTGGTTGCAACCATCACCAAGAATTGCGACCAGCATCTATATATCTATTGCAACTTCTGAAAAAATTGTATGAAATAAATATTCTCTCTCCATAGCACTGTTCTACAAATGTAACTTAATTAAAAACCTCTAATAATTTTATAAATGTAACGATTTTCCAGAAGCCTTAGCAATTGAAAGTTCATAATACTAATAAAACACTAATAAAACATGCTGTTTTCAAACCACTACTACTCCTCCATTTTTAAAGATATGAACACCAAATTAGTGTGCAAGATAGTATATGCAATATAGATTAGAGCAGGGTTGGCAAATGTGTGGTCCATTGATGGTCCATTGGTGGTCCATTGATGGTCCATTGGTGGTCCATTGGGTCCATTAGTGTAACCCTTTAACCATATTTAGTATTTTATTAATGGCAATGGACCAGTCCAAAATCCATCTGTTCTCAATGGACCAGTCAATTTGCCAACCCTGGATTAGAGCTATGGAAAGATTTAATGGATGTAAAAATACCAATGACATAAAAAAGCTCATTCGAAATACAGAAAATTTCTTCTTTATCATAATACTTCTATCTATTACAACTTCCAAAAAAATTGTATGAAATTAAAATTATCTCTCCATAGCACTGTTCTACAAATGTATCCTGATTAAAAACCTCTAATAATTTTATAAATGTAATGATTTTCCAAAAGCCTTAGCAATTGAAAGTTCATAATACTAATAACATAATAACATATTTGAAAATATATTTTGTTACACTGTTTCCTTTTTTAGAGAAAAAAGGGGTACCATAAAAAATCCGCATATATGTATTTACGTTATGACATTAATTAGATTTGTTAATCAACTTATATCAAATACCCCAATATGTCATGTTGTTGTGGAGAATTTGAGCTCAAAGTTGCACAAGTTTACCGAATTTACTATGTTTAGCCCTAAAATGACGTGTTACACAAATATATGTTAATTAGTATACAAAAGAAAATTAAATTAATAAAAATTTGATCTGCATGTTTACATGACACAAAATCCTTACTATTGGATTTTATTATTTGATTTCCCCTATATTTGTGATTATACTAATATCTAACACCCCAGTATATGGTGAATTCACATAGTTGTAAATATAGTTACTGTTGAATATCATGATTTGTAAGTTGAATCCTTTCCTTGGCTTTATTTATGCAATTATTACAAGTCATTTCACATAACATAATTAAATTAATTAGTTTATTGATCAAACAAAACTATCTATTTTTTTTTAGAAAAATGTCCACATATAAAATGGTGGTTGTCACCATTCTAGTTTATTAAAAAGAATGGCAAAGAAGAGGAAGAGATGAGGAAGAGGGATTATAAAATACATTTAAGGTATGTGACTTTTTTGTTTTTATTTTTTTAATATTTATATATTTCTTTTTCATTAAAAAAAGTTAAATGAACTTAATGATCCTATTAAATTTGGAAATTTACAAATAATCAAAAAATATTTTTCTAATGTAAAAATCACTGACTCAATGCAATACAATGCCCTAATTATGTCCTTTGTATTGGACCTTAATAACAAGCACCTAGTTAAAAGGAATTTTCAAATCATGTTAGAATGCTATAAAAATTATATCCTATCAAATCTCAACCCAGCAAGGTTGGCAAATGTACAATCCATTGATGGTCTATTGGTGGTCTATTGGGTCCATTAGTGAAATACTTTAACCATATCTAGTATTTTATTAATGGCAATGGACTGGTCAATTTGCCAACACTGCAATCCAGTAATTGATATTAAAATCATGAAATTTTTAGAAAACTTACAAATAAAGAAACTATTCAAGAAATTATGTAGAATTCTACAAACTTACCAAAACATTAGAAAAACTGGCATTGTTATGTGATGATAAAAATGATGGTAGCTGTGAAGGTGAAAATAGTACAGACGATGAATATAATGATTAATAATATGTTCATGTTGAATATTTTGGTGGAATTGGCAGCAAGAATGTAGGTTTGGTATACATAAATTATTAAATGCATTCAATATAGATTAAAATTACTTTTAAAATCATTATATAATGATGGAAACATTTGTTATTAATTATTAATAAATTCTATAGAATAGCCAAGTGTATACATGCTGCCCAAATCTCAACCAATAAGCGCCTGGAAGTTGTGAGGATAATAAGCAATCCCTTTGTTATGCTGGACAGGAGAGCAAGTACAGGAATCAGATCTACATTTGGGATGCACAAATTAATTTTAATTTGGATGGCATCTATAGCCAAATGGGAAGAAACATGAGCATGATAAAATAATAACAACCATTAATGACATCTCTGAAGGTGGAATCTGCTGATTCCACTATGGAATTTTTAGATAAAGTTTCTGGTGTGTCATTCAAGTGGTAAGAAAAATAAAAAATAACAACTAAATGATATTAATACCAATTAATTTAGGGTTGAGTTTGCTAGTATATCATCAAAATAGTAGAAATATAAATTAATAGATTATATTTCTACTTAACTAGATTATGTATCTACTTACATACAATGGTGGCGGATTTTTGTCATCAGGCCACATGTGACCTATCATCAGGACAACGATGTGGCCAATTTTTGTCATCAGGCCACATGCAAACTATCATCAGGATAACAACATAGCCAATTCTGAATTTTTGGCCACATTTGAACTTTCATATATTGATTGAGTAGTCTAATAAATTGCTACAAAAACTTATAAATAGAACCACTATCCCCCCACTTTGGACCAAAAAAACCAGTTCGTGAAAATACAAATCTCCTATAAATAATACCACATTTCCTAGGTGAACTGCCAACTTTTTCGATTGCAAGGATGAGACATGAAGTGTTGAATTGGCAATCTGTATTTTGGCCTTGCATGTTGAGGCATAAAGTGCCAAAATAGTATTCGTGATCTGGCATTGTATCTTGAATTTGAATTCCATCTATTTGGTAGGATGCAAAAGCCAAATTTTTTCTTTCTTTTCCTATATATAATCTACCTTTGCATCCTACCAATTGTTTGTGCTATTAGGTTCTAGAATGCTTTCTCGTGTAGTCAATACTTTTCAAATAAATAGGTCACGTCAAAAACACTAACTTTCATTCATTATTCTACAATGAACTCCAAATCTCTGTCTCATCGAAAAGTATATTAAGTTCATAATCTATAGGATTAATTGTTTCCTCTATTTCATATTTCGACCAGGGATACAACCACCTATTCTTATTAACATGATTAATATGATTTAATACATTGCCTCTTTATCTTTTTCTGATTAATTTATTTCGTAACATGTATCTTTCTACTTCTACTGGTTCATAGAAGAGTTCATTACATTTCTCATCTAAAAATCTCATTTTGTTGCTGTGTTCTTTTATACTCATCAGTACTCATGTAGTCGCTAAATCGCTTACCCTCTTCTTCCTGATGTTTAAGTGGTTTTCTATATATCTTACTGATACTGTTCTCCAATATTGATTTTTAAACTTTTCATGCCTCATATGCAATTCAAGTTTCACTTCCTTATTCCAAGTATGATTAATGCATAAAGCTATACTGAGACCAACCAATGGGAGTTTTTGAACGATTATTGCAATTGTATCTGGAAGCAGAAGTGGATTATACGAATACATTTTTATTGTGAATTTATTGAAACTTGTGGATTTTTAAATCCCGGTTTTGCTTTTTTTATTCAAAAAATTACAGATTCAAAAAAATTTCTCACTTTGACGTATTACTTTTGCGTATCATGTGCTGAGTCGAATACCTTTGCATATATCAATAAATATATTGCCTACCTGAAATTTTACTTCGATCAGAATCATTTTTGGATTTGGACTTTGTAGATTTTTCTTTATTCCAAATAATAAGCTTATGCACAAACCATATAATTAGTATTGCTATTATTATAAGAATAACAAGCTTAACAATGGGAGGGATTCGATACTTATCATTAACCAAGGTTTCACATGCCCCTAATGCTCCAATAGGTAATATCTCAGCCATTTCTATTTTAGTCGCATAACTTTGATCATTTCCAATGAAATCGGTTTTAGAGATGGCCTCTTCTGAAAAAATTTTAGTTTCTACTATTTGTGAGTTATCAGCATGACTATCTTCACTGGTAGAAGACTTCATATTAGATAATTCCGAGGAATTGGTGTTTTGAGGCTTTGTATCATCATTAGCCTTATTTATGGTATCACTGGATTGGTGTGCATCAATTCTTTCTGTTTGGTCCATATTATTTCTATGTTTTAAAAACTTACTAAAATCTAGCTTAGGTTTATTAGATGTGGGAGCATCACTTTGTGAGACAGAAGAAGTATAATTGCTGAAGGCAGTCACAGGGTGGCTAAAAATTGATATATTTTTTTCGTCACCTCCGCTAACTGCAGATGAAAATCGAGGTGTGGCTTCCAATTTCAGTTTCTCCAGCTCGTTAACTTTTGTGATAATTCATCTTTCATTTGCTCTAATTCAGCTAATTTAGATTTGAGGAACAAGACCTCAGATTCTTTCATGGATGAGTTTTTTTGAGCTGAAGTCAGGTTACCTCCCAATTTCTTTACCTTAGTTTGGAGCGACTTTGCTTCTTTTGGTTTTTCCGATAAAGCATTTTGTATATCATGCAACTTGATATTATAATCATTCATTGCAATCTGCTGGTGGTTATTTTGTGATTTGTGAACAGATATTTCTTCCCTCAATCACTTAACTTCAGAAATAAGTTGTAGAGCACGAGAGCAAAATCGTTGAATATATACATCAGCCTGTGTTGTAATTGAGCATTTTCCTGTTTGATATTTTTACTAAACTTTGAATATACCACCTGGAGATTTTTGAAATTATCAATGAGCTCAGAATTGGTCTTACTACTAACATGTAATGCATCCTTGAGTTCTTGTTTGCGGATACTGCCAAGCCTATACCCCTGCCCTCGTATTTTTTTCGATTCCATACTTTTGGTATCTTGCAATGTATGCATCTTGGCCATATTATAAAATATAACGAACTATGGGATATATACATAAAGAATATTGATGTTAATTCAGCATACTTATTTGGTGAGGCATTCTATGTCATGAGTTATACTCACCCCATATGAGCCTTTTTACCAAAATAAAAATACATAGAAAATCGTGAACGCAAACACGAGTTCCTTTCGAAAATTATTATTAGATAAACACCAATTCTTTTCAAGAATTATCACAAATTATCGCAAATCAAATATATAATTACCTAAAAAATTTATTAATGTAAAAGTTTTTTGTGAATGATTGATAATAAATTTAATAAAAAAATAACACGAATATGCAATTTTTATCAATTTCGTCAGACAAAAAAAAAATATATTACACATGTATCTATATTGTATTTTTATGAACTGGTTTTTGATGCAAAGTAAGGAAAATAAATGGTGTTATTAGTTAATTAACGGTTGATTTAACTTGTTGTAAAAAACCAAACTTTTAGCTAGTTATCCAGGTCTTCACACAGTCCTTGGCAAATTGTTAACACAATACTTGTCGGTAAAGTGTCCCAGACCCGTGAGCTTGTTTTATAATAGAAATTATTTGAAATTTTAGTCTCAAGATTAGATTAAAGTTATTATCCAAAGTAGAACTTTAAAATATAAGGAATGGAGATTAAGCAGAACGTGAGGGGAGGATAGTGGTTAAGATGAAGGAAAGAATAACGAGAAATGGAGAAATTACATTCCTTCATTTTATTAATAAACAATTTCTATCTTCTGAAACTACCACAACATATAAATAGGGTACTTTATAAAGCGGCATTAATAGATTTTTGGACAAGATTAGAAATAAGTCGAAAGCAAATCAAAGGCAGAAATTGCTTCGATACAAAGAGATGTTTCATTCATCACTAGGATAATAACTCCAAGATGGTATAGCAAATATGAATAATAATATTCAAAATGATATTAATACATGTAAAGATGAAGCAAGATTTCAAGAGAATAGAATGACGATAGATATTCAATAATAAATTTATTATTGCATCTGGCGATATAAGGTTTGAGTGCGTAACCCTAATGATATACTTGACCAAACTACTAGTCATGTGTTGAGTCAAGTCATTCGTTACTAAATTATGGTTTTACCCTTTTTGAATAATATTTCGAGGCTTGCTAGCATAATTCATTAAAATTTCAATTCAACACCAATAATCACAAAAGTCCTATTTAATAAACTACAAAAGAAGTAATTCGAAAATAAAGAAGTAATTTAAATAAATTACATATTTTATTTATTTCATTACAACTCGACAACAAAAAAAAATAACATTAGAAAGTACAGTTATAATATTAATATACAACTAGAAAAATATTTTATCATTCTAAATAATGTAAAGGACTCAGCATACTCAAGTCTACTGAAAAGAAAGTATGAATATTATTACGCTTCACCATAATGGTGTGTTATTATTAGTCAATGACGAGCGTTGACTGGACGAATATCATATTAACAAAGATTTTTAGTCGTGTGAAATATGGCAAGTAATATAAAATAATAATAATAATAATGCATTATTAATAATATTATGCAACACAATTCCGCACAAAAAACTCAATTTTGTTATTTGTTATGGAGATCCTTTATCAATCAAACGTTTGTTTTGTTTGTTTGTAATACTTTTTTAATTAACAATCACATATAAATTATGAAAACACTATTGTTTAATAAAATCCAACATTAAATAATTACGAACTCTCCAGGAATGCGTCCAAGATCAAGATCACCAAATTTTCAAACCGAAACCACTACTAGTTACAATAACGCTAATATGTTGTCTGATCAACTTTTAGGAAATTTAGAAGCCAAAGTTCCATGTGAAAAAAATGATAATTCTTTTATTAATAATAATAATAATCAATTTATTATTATGACAAAACATAGAATGAATCATATGCCGTTAATTGGACCATATATAGAAAGAAAACGTTGGAGATGTGTATCATATTTAATAGTGGTTATGATTATTTTAGCTTTGCTTCCAGGTGTTTTAATGTTTATGAACTTCTTATTATCTTCGAGGAATGGTCATCCCAAAATAGGTGCGTTAAAATATTTTTCAATCATAATTTATAAAATGGATGTTTTCATCATAATATTAACAATAATAAAAAAATTTTTGTATGTTTTTAAAAAAAAGAAAAACAAAATTACCAACCAGTAAAATATATTGGTATACCTTCTAATGTAACAACTGAGTTAAATCAAGTTACCAATATTTTTCATGTCACAAAAGAATTCGGATTAGCATCAATGGGTGGATTAGGTCATATAGTTACAGGATTGTCACAAGCTCAAACTGCTAATAGTGCATTGGAAGTGAATGTAATCATGCCTTACTATTCTTTCTTGAAGTCACATCATGACATTCATAGTTTTGCTCAAATGTCAATTGATATTCAAGATAAATATGGGAATCCAGAACAGGTGGTGTTTACAGTATATCAATTTTTTTGGAATGTAACTCAAGATGACGATGTATTGAATGACGAATCACCACCAGAGCCAAAAGCTATAAGGGTTTTTGCAATAGGTCATAGTAAAGATGCGGCGCCTTTTAATTTAGCCTTTAAATCAAAACGTGTCACTGATATATATTCATCACCACCAAGTTTACCTCAAGAATGGAGGGATTTATATTTTTGCAAAGCTGTAGCTGAATTAATAGCGTATATAACCAATATTGTTGATACTCCTTTATTTGATACTCGAGAAGAACATGGTGTTGATATCATACATATTCATGGTGCTACAAATGCATTGGTGATTGAATTCCTTAAGGATTTAAATAAAGAAAACAACAGATTTAGTAAACCACCACCTGCTATTGTTTATACTTTACATGATTATTTGGAAGAACAATTGTACTCAAATGAAGTTGTAAATATTTTAAAATTTATGGATTTAAAAGATTACACAACTGAAAAGCCAAATTATTTTCATGGTTCAAGAATGTACACATCATCATTAGCAATTGATCAAGCAGATTATGTCACATTTGTTTCATATACAATGGCTAAAGAAATGGTGGAAGGACCGATGGATTTCTATCTTAAAGAATTGATTATGCCTAGTATACTGGAACGTGCTAGAACAGGAAATTGGATTGGCATAACTAGTGGTATTGATCTTATAAGTTCTAATCCGTTTAATGACATATTATTAATTGAAACCAATTCAAACTTTCCAAAAAACATTAATACATTCAATCCAAATACCCTTGTTCATGGAAATATTGAAGAACATTATAATGACCTGGTAATTTATTCAAAATATAGTGCAAAGAAACATTTGATTAGAGAAGGTCTTTTGAGAGAAGAAGATTTGAATCGTGTGATTGTGTTGTTTGTAGGTAGATTCCAATATAATAAAGGTGTACAATTTTTACGTGATGCTGCTCAAATTATTTCACAATTAAATGCTAAATTTATAATAATGGGACAATGTAATAGTTATCCTGTGGAAAAAGTTATTAGCATAAGTGAAGAGTACCCAGATAATGTTGTAGTTATTAGTGATTTTGAATTTCAACAAAATTGGGGTGTTTTGTATAGGGCTGCTGCTGATATATTATTTGTACCTAGCATAACAGAAAGCTTTGGATTAGTGGCAGTTGAAGGTTTATTATTTGGAACTCCAGTGGTTAGTACAGGTGTTGGTGGATTAAAGGAATTTTTGAAAAATAAAACACATGATATACCATCATCACCATCAGATGATTTGGATTTCAACTATAATTCATATTTGTTTAATATATACACAACTGATATGCTTGATTTATCAATTGAGGAAATGAGATTGGCTTTAAGTACAGCCATCAATGATATAAAAGAATTGTCACATGATATTAGAGGCAAAGAAATATTTTTGAGGAAATTGATTAAGGATGCCTTAAGTTTAGATTGGAATAAAGTTGGTGGAGCTGTTGATCAATACACTACAATTTATAAGATGGCAATTCAAAAACATGAAACATCATAATGATTTAGCATATATAGATTAATAACATTATATATTAATATACTCACAATCTATTATTATTATTCCTTAAATGGTTTGTCCATTTTTGTCATTATTTCGCCTTCTTCATTCTTATTTGTCAATTTAATGATCGGTGAAATAAAATATATTTATTTATTAAAAATGTTATCAACATTTATTTGTATAATATTGTTGTTTTAAAAATGTATTAATTTTATATTTAGAAAATTTAGAAAAAATTTTTAAATAAATTGTTCATCATTATTACAACGTTTCACCAGTTTCTATTACTTCCAATTAAAAAAAATATATATTTCAAAATAGAAGTGTTTGATAATAAATAATAATGTAACTAATATTCAATTTAGAAGATTTCTATGAAGTATCATCATTATTGGATAAAATTACAACCAGTGAATTTAATTTTCTTTATGAAAAAATCTCAATCCCAGATATTGATGAAGAAGTTTTAAGGCAATCCGAAGTTTGCAGTAAGGGCTGTTTCTATTTTTCCATGCCCCAAATAATAACCACCCCTAATTCTATCCAATTAAATTCAATTAAAACTTTGAATATATTGTAAAACTAAAGCTAATATATACATACATATGAGAACGGCTGATTTTTTATGCAAGATACCTCCTTATTTGTATTTCTTTGGCCAAGATTGACAAGGTTTTTTATAGCAAACTGAACACAGATTTTCCATCCAAACTTAATGTTAAAGTAAGAACCTTGTTTTTTTTGGATAACGATTTAAATATTGTACCACATTAAGAATGGTTGACGAAATTCATATTATTACCAAGGATCTTTTGACGAAATTGATTTAGCCAATCAAATCAGATACTTGCGATACTTGCTGATCACTAAATAATAAATTTTAGTGACGGGACGTTTTACCGACAAGTCATTTTCTAATATTAACATATTCTATCAATTTAGCATAATATTTCTTTGTTTTCCTACCATGACCATGTCAGTTCATTACCACTATCCGCTAATATTAAGAAATGACATATATAATATTAATATATCTAATGATGTTAGCCGGCTAAGCTGTTTAAGTCTTTAAACCATTTATTAGACGGCTAGGTTGTTAAGTGATTAAGCCATTTATTAGACGGCTAGATTTATTAATTGCACTATGAAATGATTTGTCGGTAAAACGTCCTGTTGGTATAATGTCTTGTCGGTAAAACGTCCTGTCGGTATAACGGAGTCGGTATAACGGCTGTTGGCATAATGTCTGCCGGTAGATCAGGTGGGACCCCTTTCGAGACTTTATGGTAACGACTTTCTAATTTCCAGTAAATTTAACTTTTAATAATAATAATATCTTTTTTCATTTACTAAAGAAGAGAACTAGTGCCTGGATTCAATTAAAAGATGAAAATGTCAAAATATCTTTTTCTTGTTCATTGACATTCTTTCCCTCTTCAACAAGAGCAGAATTAATGGCAATTATGACTGCTCTTATAACTTGTCCATAACATTGTTTGGTGTCAATTTATACAGACAGTCAATCATCTATTCAACTACTTGACAACAACGCCACACCCAACACTACTTGCAATAAATTTAAAATCAAAAATTACTCTATAATATCCTCAATCCACCACATAAAAAAATCATTATCATTAAAAATAATCTTCCATAAAATTAAATCACATTCAGGCAATAAATATAATGATTTAGTTGATAACTTGGCTAAATCAGCTTCACCTGAAATAAACCACATGAATCCTTCTTCTATCAAACTCCACTCTCCAATCAACAATATATTGATTACCCTCTACATTCTTTCATAAAATTAAACTCAAACTCACAAGCAATAATTAAATGGCAAACACAACCTACCTTAGTAAAACAAATTTCATCAAACACACCTATCAATTAGTCATATACAGAATTTTGTCTAAAATTCTCCCATTAATCAATGTTCACTGAAAATAATTCATACTTTTGCCATGGCTCATTATTCTAATTCAAATTTGAAATTCTCCATAACAGTAAAAAACTTAATATGCAACTATCCAATGCTATTCCACCTAATCTTAATTGTCTCTATTGCAATCAATCACCTGAAAATACCACACACCTATTTTCTTGCCAAGCTAATTCTAATTTGGACACAATTCCATGGCTAACAATCAAACAATCAATAAATAATCTCTGAAATCAAAATTACACAAACTAAACAACTATTACAACCTTTATTCCAATCTAACTTCAACCATACTTCACCTGTAATACTTGCAGCTGGATTAATTCCATCATCTCTAATTAACTCCATATATCCAATATTTACTTCTCACAAAAAAACTTCAATCATCCTTCACATCCATCTCCTACAATCTAATAACTTTCTATTATAAAAATGGGTGGCTTCCACAATATGTTTTGTTTAACTCATGGTTAAAACAAAATAATATCAACTTGAAAAAAATAAAAACTAATCAATTATACCCAATTAATCATATAGCACAAATACCCTCAAGACCTCTTTCAAATTCAAATTCAAATTCAAATTCAAATTCAAATTCAAATTCTAATTCTAATTCTAATTCTAATTCTAATTCTAATTCTAATTCTAATTCTAATTCTAATTCTAATTCTAATTC